TGCTAATATGTACTTTATTATTTAGTGAGTTAGAAATGCATCATTAGTACTTTACGATGAGATACTGAGATTTTTAATTAAGGAATATCTAATTACTGACATTTGATGACGCCTGTTAGTTTTTAAATGCTATTCGGAACATGACGGTAATTTTGACATAAGAGATATTTCCTTAGTATCATTCAGTGCATGGATGAGTGTATAAACCGCATCCGTCTCCTCTTTAAAATCTCTTGTCTAAACAAAGCAAATAATTAATTTATTATTGCGGATGTGTAAAGGGTACTATAACTCCTCACATTTTGATTAACATACATTAACACTTTAGTTATTTAGAATGTCTCGACCTGAACGTAATGAGTCAATCTTGGGCATAATAATGCTCCGGTTTTATCTGTATTACCTAATTCACCTTTCCTTAAACCAAGCACAAAATACTCTACATCTACGACACTTCTGGAAATAATACGAACAATGAAATGGAGCCAAGAAGAATGTAAAATCAAAACTAATCATCAACGACATTCAAGTGAGTAAGGATAGAATAAATGCAAACTTTAGGATGCTGAAAGTTTTAAAGTCATTGGGGAAGGTCCAACATTAGACCGGAACAGGTTAATGATATTTAGGACAGTTTATTATTTCTCAAAAATATAGAACCTGGTTTGGTTTCTCAAAAGTGTAAACACACATATCCTATGCGTGTATGAAAGTACTCCTACTTGTAGGTTTTTATATATCCTGTATTTTCATATCTAAAATTTACATTACTTGTTCAATAAATATTGGTTATTTAAGTGTCAGTTGAACCGATTTGAGCCGTGGATGGCTTTGATAGATGATGTTCAGTTAATATACAGCTCTTGCCTTGCACATTTGATGTCAAAAGACGTCAACGGAAATTATCTAAAGATTACAATGTAATTAAGTTCGTCGTATAAATAACCGAATTATTGAGAACTAGCTCTTCGTACAAAATTTTGTTCTTTATAACTTCAATTATTATACCTATGCTTACGCTCGTTATCCAAAGAGATAGGCAGATATTAAGTTTCTATTCTCACGATCAGTTTCATCAGTCAGTCATCATATTTCGACATCAGAAAACTCAAAAAAGGGGTTTATAAAGTAAGAAGGTTACTGTAATATACAGGATGAATTTCTTTACCGCATCAATACAGTTTTATTTTATCGTGGTTTAAATTATAAGTTATTTGGATTTACCGACGTTAAAGCAATGTGTAGAATATTTTAATGCCCTTTTGCTACATTTGCTTCCTTCTTTTTCATAAAAAGGTGTTTTTTTACATTGTGTGATGTTTCACATTTGCCAGATATTATCTTTTAGAGTCCGAATTCTTAGAAATAAGAGACGATTGTGGTTTTAAGCTCTGCTTATTTCATATGTTCTTTTGTTTGTTTTATAGTTATGGCTAGCTCTTTTTAACCATCATTATTCGAGTGAATTCATTTTAATAGTCAAGATGCGAGCAGGAACTTTTAAATAAAAAAGTTATGCAGATGTCAAGTAATCACCATAAACTGTTTTAAAGGTATTTAGTAATATGAACAATCAAATTTTGATTCATCTTAGGTATACAATTTGATTGCAGTCCCTAAACGTTGTTCACAAAGGCTAAATGCCCTCGGGGCGTAGATGATTTGCTATACATGGCCGGAATGTGTTTGTAACAAAGGCTACACGAAATGCCTTTACTGATCCACTAACGCTTAGGTCAGGTTACCTCCATCATAATTCAATTTAATTCATTTATTTACGCCACACTGACATACTGGTCGTGACCATGACTTCTTGTTTATAACTTTAAGCTCCGTAAAGTTTTTATATATATTAATATTTGCAGCTTCTCAACTCGATGTATTGTTCAATGATGCGTTTTTTTGTCGACATTGCATATGTAGTTGAAAAATTATTTAATTAATATTTAGAATTGAAGTGGCAAAATGAAATCGAAATTTAATAATAGTAAGCTTTTTAAGTTACGAGTAATTTCCGCTTTTTAATACTGATATTAGAAATTCGGCCACTAACATTTAGGGGTCTTATCTTTTTGCTTGATTGCGATTACGCTATTCTATAAAATATTATGTAAAAGTTAAAGCATATGCCATAAGAGGCATATTATGATGATAATATTATATTTCTTTGTCAATCTGGTTATTGCTACATACCATACTCGTATTTTAATATTTCCATTTTTATGTTCACGTAGTAAAATGTTTTCTAACATACAGTCTGATGCTTTTCTTTCATACTTCTTTGTCCCATGAGGATGTTTTTTTTTGAGGACAATTACTCTGCGGAAAAAAGATGTCGATAAGTAACTTCGCTATTCTAGATAAAATCCATTACAGAGAATTTTCTACACTAATAAGAATCTACAGTTATTTATTTTGAAATCGAAAATATTCTTAAGGTTGAGATATGAAATATACTAAAAATGATCACTATGCATTTGTTAATCATCTTGCGGTGGAATTGATTGTATACAGGATGTTGTGCTGGCATCAACTGCATTCATCGATAACAATGTATTGAATTATGATTTTTAAACTCATGGTGATTCTTTTTGAACCGCTATTTGCGGATGAGTTTTGAGATATCAAAATACATAGTTCCAATATACTGGTACGCAGATTATAATGGATAATTTATGATATCTTAAGGTTGAGGTCTATACATGACTATATTATGACAAAAAATAATTATAAAGAGAAACTATCCCTGATTTTCCCACGTAATATTGAAGATACGTATGAGTACAATGACGATATTAAGATTACCTTTATAACATAACATTTTAAAACTGTAATTGACATTGATGGAAGAACATTTTTTTGTTTGATCAACATTTTTAACAACGCAAAAGATCGAGTTAAAACAATCAGAATATTCAAATATGTGGTCTATTAAATATAATTTCACGACCTTCAAGCTTTGTTCAATATATCAGCTCAGAGTTATATTTCGCATTGATTTCTTCCTATTGACCTCAGTAAGTAATTATTCTAGGATTCGATGTTTTTACGCAATATTTTTTTGGTTTAAATAGATGACACTTAAAAAATAACAAATGAATTCTCCAGTTGAATAATAACTTAACGAAAAATAATGATTAAATCTGACATAACCGCTGGTCCTAACTAGCTTAGGGTAGTCCTTCAATGGGGATGTATATAGTTGGTGATGATGAACCGTTGTTCAAGTTTATGTGCTTGTAAGAATTAAGGAGATATTGATCCAACACACCACATTTATTTAAATTTATAAGTTTTTAACACTGCTAAAAGCTATGAGATCTAGTAGTACCAAGACTCTGTTTAAACTCTAATTTGTTACATGTACACCAGCTATCTTGGCCATCATTATATTAGTATTATACATATAGGCGTAAATATTATTTTACGTATATTAAAAGGTCATCCATTATTCAATGTAGCACTTTGAAGTCCTTTATTATCTACAATCTAGGTAATTTCTCAATGTACGGTTACTTTGATAAGTCTTTTGTATTCATTGAATAAATCTGTTGCATCTTCATAGATTATTAAACAATATTAATCAGATATCAATCAGAAAATTGACAGCTTTAATGCATCATGATGGTATCTTAAACCGTGGCCACAATGTTGTAAAGATTCATGATTACTAAAAGGAAACATAAGCAGTCATTTTTATGATTTGTTAGAATGTGCTTTTGGACTTTTAATTCGTATCATTTGTGTTGTAGATTTAACATTTGAAGCTTTTTAGCAACACTTTTAGAACTATAGCATAATACACAGAGCTTTGTGTGTTTTCTTAAACTAAATCCGACAGTTGCTTATCTCTGTTACTTTTCTTTTTGTCGGATTACTCAAAGTTGAAATCACAATATAATGATAATCTCGAATTTAAAAGACATATATGTTGCATTATATGTCTATTCTTTACCTTTTATTTAGCGTAGGAATAATCATACTGTTTAAAATATTACGCAATCCTTCAATGGACTAAAGTTATTTTATCTTCCTATTTAACCTTATCTAAGCCTCTTCATACTTCGTTAAAGTTTAAAGTAACTGCAAATGTATTTTATTGCGAATTGGAAACGGACGTTAAACTTTGTACTCTGCGAGTTTCAAAGTACTCAAAGATAAAATATGTTTTTTTATGATTCATACAAAGTAATAGATAACTGCCATACCTAATCAGTTTTAAGTTATTTTAGTGAAACCAGTATTAACTCTCCAATTAATCAAAGTATTACTAATTTCTAGCTACATAATTTTAACTAATCAGTCTAATGTTGTTTTGCCTACACACGTCTACCTTTTGTAAAAATCATTTTAAAGAAATGTCTAAATCAATATTGCATGGGACAAACCGATCGTGCGAACATACGATTTCATTTCCATTTCAATCAGTGCTCTAATTAATTCGAACTAACAATAGATTTTCAATACCGCAATTATATACGTTCAACATTGCTTCACAATATCAAAAAACAAATACAGTAATATACAGTGCAGTCTTTCAAAATCCAATTCAATATTTATTTAATTATATTTATCTAGTTTTCGCCCGTGACTTCGTCCGCGCAGTGTTAAAAAAAAACAAAAGTGAGTAGTCTATGTGTCCTGCCAGATCATCCTCTAGATCTATACCAAATTTCATCAAAATCCGTTCAGCCGTTTAGGCTACCAACTCTAACAAACATCCACCCATCTATCTTAACTTTCGCATCTAAACATACGCAGATTACTATAAACTATTGTATTATTTATTTAGTTATTGTTATTATAAATTTGCCTCCTGGTTATTTTTACAACATATGTCTATGCGAATAACATTTCATTAGTGTTTCAAGACAACATTTGTCTTAGTGATTTTTTTTATAATTTGGAACTAGTGGATATTTAGGCTAACGATTTCAAATACCCAAAAAACTTGATTATAGAAAAAAAATCTTTTAAATATGTCATATTTTATTGTCATTATGTACATTGATTTGTTGATTAATTTAAATATAGAGCAATTATGTTAAATACATGTATTAATATGGTTGTGACGTAGAGCGAATGATTTGTGCAGACTATCTTCAGCCGTAGTATGGACCAGTGCCGCCGCTGCTTCGTTTTGCTGGCAGACTTTTTATTAAGTCTAAAGCTTTTTGAATCGCCGGTGGGATCGGCGGGGGAGTTGGTAAATGGTCGCCCTGGAAAAAGTGAAATTTAATAAAAAAAAAAACAAAATGTCTATACGTGTTACCTCGAAGACTCAAAAATTTCGCATATAACATTTTTATCGGCTACTTTTAGATATTATCGTTTACTATTCGTTTTGTTATATAATATTGTTGCCATAACAAGTATGGGAGTCAATGTGTTGCCTGTAATTTGTGTCACTGCGAAGTATAAAATTACAACTGACCTTAAACAAACTAATGAAATCTTGCCTAAATCAATAGCACTAATTAGAATTCATTATGTAAGTTGGTTAATGAACAAACATCTTTGATGTTAAAAATACGCAATAAAAACAAAAGCTATTTTGTCTTATCCTGTAGGAGAAGATAGAAAGTGATTCCGAAGGTCTATTACCTTAAATTAAAAATTACTATTTTGTTGGATTCAATGTATAAAAATAAATAGTAACTGTCATTGAAATAATGATAGGTTAGAAAAAATGATACTATACTCGTAAACTTCAAGACCATCGCTATTTCTATAACAGACAATACGTAAGGCCTAGGTCAGTGGAAAGGGCGTGAGCGGTTGCGGCGTACGTCTGCGAACAATGCTTACGTAATTCACGTGATTCACATACACTGTTAAATAAAATTTTAAATGTCAAATGTGCTTAGAATATGGCTGAGGATGCGGGCAATCGTGATTTAGATAAATTCTTTACTGACGCCGCCTTTGACACATCACGTAACAACGGGCCTCGTAGACAACTTGTAGATAACAAAAAAAATGTATTTATTTAACTATTTAAAAAAGCATGTGCAAGAAGGTTGAAAAATATTACTTTTCTATCTTCAAGATTTAAGCTAATTAACTAGCTTTTATCTTACTGTGTCTTTAATATAGATAATCTTTGTAACCCGACAACTAATAATTCTGTAGTGCATAAAGTACGACCTGCAATAAGACTAGTAATTCGAAGTTTGGTCACTCAACTATAATTTATTTTTATTTATAACTCATATTTTAATAGTAATAAATTGTAAGTCATAATATCTACTTATGTCACTACGCTAACCGCTAAGGTAAAGAGTAGAGTATTAAACTGTACAATTCTATTTAAGGCTTACGACACGTGTGCATAGACACTCATTACAGTCCATGTATTGACAAGGTGCTATTTATGCTAATAGTAATTTTCGTATAATCTAAATTGCACGGGAGAGATCTTCAAGCAAGCAATGAAGTAAACATGATTAACAGCGATGATCATTTGTTGATACGAATCTTGGTTTTACGTTTTAAAACAGTTGCTTTCACACGTCCTTCATTTTTGGCGAATGTTTCAAAACTCTAACTTCTTTGCATTACTGTAATCTCGGATTTGGATTAATTTATAGTTTTGATATTTAAATTAGTTCATATTTGACATTTGGTAATAAATATTAGTAAGGTGGTGACTTATTTAAAATAGATTTCGATGTCTATACAAAAAGTAAGTTTTATGTTGAATTTTAAAATGTGTTGTGGTTATTCTGTTGTAAATTAACATCATAGCTTAAAATCTGTCTGTCAACCATTACAATAACCTAACATATTCTGTTGAAATGTTTAATAACTTTAATGTACTATTTTGCTCACAAAATGTTAGCGCAATTTTCAAAACAGTGGAAGGTTTCTATTCATTACTATTAAAATTGGACTTAATAACCCGTCATAGTACCAATCAAGCCTTTCCCAACTACAGTTCGTAGGGCGTCATTTGATATTTTAACGCGACATTTGCCCACATGTTAGCAATCATGATTCACACCTGCACCTTCATCTTCGTAGAGTATTAAATTTTCTACAAACTTACGTAAGGTTCATGATTCAGCCACACATCCGAATTTCAGAAAAAAGTTACTTGTTGCAAAATATTTTGTATCGACATGTATACCTATTTGGAACGACCCACGATTAACTGTTAAAAAACTTGAATGTTGTGTCATTAAAATAGCGTATAATTTTTTTCAATAACCGCTTATTTTATTCATATTTTTTTAATATTTTGTATGGTGTTTTTTTTTAAATTTGAGATTTTAAATATTTAAACTTTTTAAAAACAGATTTCTTTAAGTTAGTAAAAACAGATTGCTCAAAATCAAATTACCGTTTGGTAACCGTTGAAATAAAAACCCATAAATTTGGAACATTATTAGTAGGTCAATGTTGATTTACCTTTATTGCTTAGATGTGGAGTGATGTGACCTTATAGGTTAATGTTGGTGAAAAAGTGTAAATTGATAAAATACAAAACGATTTCATTGATACAAGATGCTTGCAAAATAAATTTGTAAACACAAGCACAGAAGTGTATTTAAATTAACATTTTATTATGATTTTATTGCCGACTGTACTTGAACTTGTATTTAACATTTTTACAGTACCGGATTCCGTGATGCATCTCCTCGTTTTACGAGTGCGAACCTAAAGATGTCAAGGTTTCTATAAGACGGCGTATAATTGTATTTAAAATGGTAGGTACAGTCATAACTTAAATTTGTAAATGTGTAATATAACACCGACGATCTATATAACATTGGAATTCAAAGTATTGATGCTATAAATAGGTTTTAAAACGCATATAAAGTAAGTGAAAATCAATAAAACTATAGCGTACATAAGAACTAAGATTCTAGTATCTTTAATTGACTTATTATTTTCGTGGGCTTTATTTTATTCCTAGTGTTAAAGAATATAATATCAATTTATTTATTAAAATGCTGAATATAGTTGTGTAAGTGTTCTCGAGATGCAATATGTTTATCATAGAATAGTTATTTTCACTCTGTACTAAATAAGAAATGGTGCGATGCCAACGCTAACGGCTCAGCACAACTTCGTGTAACCAGTGCCATAAAACAGCGGCAATGGGTCATATAAAGTTACTTAATCTAAAGTCACTCAACTCACAAGAGTTACAACTTCTTCTTTATTGACCGACTTCCCAAAGGAAGGAGGTATTCAATTCGTCGATATGTTATTTTTTTTTTATTTTTTTAACGTTATTTTTATCAACATTTTTGATTGGAATTGTTAAGTGTAAAAGTGTGAAATTGAAGTGAGTAAATATGATAGTTTATCTCATCTTTAAGTTATCGGTTTCTGTATGAATATTAATGTATATGAAATATTAATACCTTAGGTTGGAAGCCATTGGCATCAGCAACATACTGCAGTGTTATTGTAGACCCGTCAGGTGCCTTGTAACTGAACTTTCCATTAGCGACTTGCTCCTCTTGGCCCTCGCCCTTGCCGAAATTCTTCACATAACCAGCCTCTTCCGCATTTATTTGGTTACCGGTCTCGTAACTGTAATTAACAATGATTACGAATATTAAGAATTCTAGAGATGAAATAAATGTACTTCTGTTTCCCTGTGTTGCAGAATACAGTTAAAATTTCGCCTTACTTAATATGATAATATACAATATTTTAACGATCCCAATAAATAGAAGTTAATTTGAAGGTTGTATGTGATTAATAATGAAAAATTACAATCAATTAAATTTTATCATTTACTATTGATTGAATTCTTTTAATCACTAAATATTGCTACAGAATTTGATAACCTTATTTAAAAAAATACACATTTACAAATAACTACATAGTTTAAATTGTAAATAACGTGTGTGTCAAAGTGGAATATTAAAAATAAAAACTTGTCCCTCTTTACCCAGAATTCCAGGAATGCTAAAGTAAATACGAGTACAAGTGTTGTCAGGTTTCCACTTGACGAAGGTCATTGAGGCTATATACGGACAGGTTATGTTTTATTGTAAGATTACATCTTTCTCTGCTTGTGTCGGTGCCAACTTGACCAAGGCGTAAACGATCTCAAAATACAAAACATATCATGTATGTTATTTACATACAGATTCTCTAAACGTCCAATTGTTTAGATAGATTTGTTATTATTTATTGTTTTTATTCTATCGGATTCGACAATACGTATATACGTTTGAGAATATTCGTTTAATCTGCGTGTGTTGCGTATTTATGTTCTTTGGAATGTGCGATAGATTCGATACAACGTAATTGGAAAAATGTAAAAATCATTACTGATTTGAAAAATGACTTACAGCCATTTGTATGATCCGTCAACATTTGGTCCATCTGATTCGTAGCGCACAATAGGGATGACATCTTGTGGGCTGGATCTAGCTTGTATTCCTATGGCGAGAATCAACACGGAACATACTATCGGAGTAATCTGAAAACATTTAATATATTCGCTTTTAGAAGGATTGTAACGTTAAAAAATTTCACCTAAATTATTAAAAATCTTTTACTACTCATTCAGATTTCAGCACATGTTATTCAACACTAGGTTCCATTATCTTTCTATACATTTCCTTGTCTTCTTAATACTAATTTTATTTGGTTACGGTAAATTTGACGTACTTAATTGTGAAGTAACGCCTTGTTACAAAATCTAGCAATTAATCAACTAAAAATATTACTGAAGAAAAATGTGCAGGCGCTTTAACTGTTTAAGACATTTGAAATGAACCAGAGGATCAAGTATTGTCATTTTATGGCAGATGGGAAACTATGTTAGAGAATATTACATCGAAGTATTAAGTAAACTTCACAACTACACATTTAACTAGACATTTTACTATCCTTACCAATCATCATTTCGACATGCAAATTACTTGAGTTTGTGATTTTCAAACACAAACGTGTGAAAGCTCACCCGCCTACTATGAAATACAAGATATGTCTACAACATTCAATATCAAAACCTACGAAGCTTTAACAAATAATTAGTTTTTATATTAAAAAAATTATATTAGCCCAAATGCATAAAAATAAAATTTTTATTGAAGCTTATTAAAAATGTCATTATAATTAAATTTAATTAATTAATTAAATTTATTGAAACTTTCTACTTATCTATATTTACTTTAAAAAGTCATTATTAAAGTATTTTTTTTAAATTACATCTTTTATGACAGAAGACAAATGTAATAATATATTTGTATTGTTGAGTTGTCTTTATAAACTATGAAATATATGAACTCAAATAAATTAATAATACTCTTACCATTATTGACTTAGGGGACAAATGTACTAAAGGGTCCAAATACAATCAAATGCAACTGAGGTGTGTACTGAGTGACACTGCAGGAGCTTTATATACCGTCTTCTTTACCTATGAACTTCGTGCAACCAAACGCATCCTGAACTAAACACACACGCGCAAACCAATAAACAAACACAAACGGCGTATATAATTAAAAAAATATACTAATGGCAATAAAATTGTATGCATTATTATGATGAACGTTGATTGTCAATTAAATTCCTTGCATACTTCTCTACCCTCATCATCGGCTGTTAAATACTTAAAAGTAATCGACATCCAAAAATAAGGAATTCGTAAATAAAAAAAATGTAACCATATTTGTATTTCACACTATGCATTACATTAGATAGGAGATATCGACTTATAGATATGTAGAAGTATGTAGAAGGATGTCATATAACATACATAGAACATGTAAAAAAATTTATCACAACCAAAATAGGCACGATATCATGCTGGATGAATTTAGATAAGTATTGAATAATTTAATCCGTCTAACTATTTCGAAGCTGTAGAACTGAAAGAAATGCAATTCCGAATATATAACTAACTAGCTTTTACCCGCGACTTTGTCCGCGTGAAATTAAAAAAATAATAAAAAGTAATGAATAAATTTAGCCTATGTTACTCACAGATAAATTACCCTTCTAACGGTAAAAGGATTTTTTCAATCGGCCAAGTAGTTTTTGAGTCTATTCATTACAATCAAATAAACAAAATTTAAATCATCGTTAAACCATAGTTTTGTAGACAGTAGTAATTTGAACCGAATTCTTGTTAAATGTTTGTCACCTAAAGGATTGTATACATACTTGTCTTTGTATGTGTCTTCGTATATAAGAATATTATAAATCCGTAAAGGGTAAATATTTAATGTTAATCAGTTTCGAAGATTCTCACTCGTTCCTTGCCATTCTCTATAAATCACGGAACGCCTTGGCTAATACTACTGGGCAATAAAATATCATGCAAATTTAATACATAGTTGTAAGGAATATATTGCATGTATGTACCTATACATTCGCATTTTATCCATCTTATAATATTATATAAATGCGAAAGTTTAGATGGATGTTTGTTAGAGTTTGTAGCTTAAACAGCTGAACGGACCTGGATGAAATTTGGCATAGATCTAGAGCAAAGTCTGGAAGAACACATAGGCTACTTACTTTTGTTTTTTTTTTAATTCTCCGCGGACGGAGTCGCAGACGAAAGCTAGTAATAATATAATTTGTAGTATTAAATATAGACTAACTAAGATAACCAAGAAATTCACGGGGTTAAGCCCGCCTTTTACATTTTAAATTTAGGGCATATGTAAAAAGAACGCAGTCATTTATTTACTACACAGTAAAATCATCGAACAAAATTATTATTGATATAGTATTATATTATCTGTGACATCCGTAAAGTATCCATTATCCAATACAAATGTATTTAATGGTTGCGTTTAAGTTCAACATTTAATATGTAACTTTATACCAAACCTTAACGTTATTTACACTAACATTATTATTTTCCCTTATAATCCCTATTATTTATAATCTCTGTTAATTTTTTTAAATGCGATGACTTGAAAATATGCTATGACATCTTCAATTTCATTTTTCTAAACCACTTTTTATTGTTGCACTTTCTCATAAATCGTAAATACTGAATACATTCTTTAAAATTAATTTCTTAGCATTGATCTAATTAACTTTTCATAAGTAACAGTTTGAAATAGGATTTTTATCTGTAATTCAAACAAATTTAAGTAACAGGAATATTGTATAAAAAGTTACCAAACTTTAATTTTTTTACAGAACTCTATCGTAAGTCATAATAGACCTCGGAGTGTATAAAGTTCCTATATAATGATCAGATATGCAAAATAGACTTTGAGCAGTGGCGTTCAATATTCAATTCGTTATCATCAACTGTCATTTATCGAGATTATCAAGCAAAGGTTTTACATTTCACGGTAAAACAACCTAACACTACGCTTTCTATTTTCCAAATCAAAATAAAGTTCATGTCAAAGTATAGTTCATTTCAGTAGTTTCTAAGTTTTGAATAATTTGTTTATAATTTACGAGGGTTTTAAGGTATAATTATTAATGACGAAACTCGTAAGGTGCATCGCAATAGCAATTGACCCCCGAATCTAGTTCTGCTCGTGGCATTTGACGATGGACGTATGCAATCTTTCAATAGACATGAAATTGAATATATTCATGCTAAAGTAAAAGCACATGGCAATTACATGATTGATTACTATTGAGACACGCAGTCTGCATTTTTGATGACGATTTGTAGTTCAAACACCTTTTTATAAATAAGGTTGTAGACAAACTATAATTACTAACCAATAGAAATCGAATAAGAAACAAATGTTAATATTTATTATTTTAATTCAATATTTATTAGGTTCGAATTGATCTTTTCTACGTTTGTTCAGGTTTTTTATTATGATTGTTAGATATGTGTATATTTATAATATTACTGTGTAAATTAAATAAAATAAAAAATAAATAAATACATTATTACACAAAAGTAATTGTTTCTCAATATATTTATAGACATAAATAAATCAAATCCCGGACCTTTGGCAGTTGCCCACAGCCGGACCAACATTAAACATTAACTCATACCTGATTCACGGATAACCTGATTCGCTGCATAAAAGTTTTACAATCAAAGGTCAGAGTTCTATCGTAGCATCAATAAATGGAATCTCATAACTTATTAGTAATGTGTTTAAAACCGGTCGGCCTATTTCGACATGTGAGAAAACTTACGCAAGTCCTGGAAACCTATAAATGCCATATTGATAAACGAATGTTTGATAAGTATTTGTTTTTTTTTTTGTTTTATAGAATTCTTCGCACATAACTCTCCTTGTAATAGAGTATAAGTATAGAAGAAACTTGAAACAAGGTCTGCTAAGGGTGAAAACAATTTTAAAAGCATGTTTTAATAAATGCTTATTGTTTTTTGTTATACATATGCAAGCCTATTTAAGTCCTAAATCTAAACTGTAAGGATAATAGCTCTGTCCCTATTTAATATACCTAAAATTAGGTCATACATCTGGTTAGTATTATAGTACCAAAAAACCTTTAGATACAAGTTTAAATTGGGCCAACCAAAAACCAATTGTAAGGACTATGAAATACTGATCAAAAAAAGCTATTTCTGTCTTGACACTCGCGATTGTTAAGCGCGATTTCCCCAGTTTCCTAGTAAAATGAATTATGCCCATTTTCTTAATCAATCAATAATCATTCCAAAAATGGTATTTAAAAAAACAAGGGCGAATAAGTCGGAATCTAAGTAAGATATAAATATTCATAGGCGACGATCACTTAATGATTGCATGATTATTATTTATAATATTTACAATAAAAAAGACATCACAAGTTTCATCCTTCCGATTCCAAGACCCATAGAGGTAGAGGCGTTCACTTAACCTTGAACATACCCAATGGTTCATTTGTAAGATAATGCTATACGACCCGACTTTGTTCTTGTCCGTGGAATGGAGTCAATATATTATAAAATGTGTAATTGTTGTTAACTTGTTTAAAATCGTTTTTTCTTTATTAAAAAGTAATTAAACAAGGAAATGTATAAATAACTGCTTAGTTTTGTCTTTGTTGTGTTTTAAGACATAAACTTAACTTAAAGCTGTAATAACATTGTAATACGTCCCATAATACAACTTATTGTCACGTATATTGCCCATGTCTGTTATAAAACTAACATGTTACTGAAAAGTAAGGATATAACAAATTATTTAATCAAGACTTTTGTTTGATTGAATGGATTGATGGGTCGATCGAGCCCCAAACTTACCCATAGATTTCTCTGCAGTGTTATTTATGCAGTTCACAGTTCTCGTCGCATACTTTTGTCGTAAAAAAAATTAGCACTCAATGTAGTTACTAAAAGTCAAAATAAAACAATAATTGAAACATATTTAACGTTTTTATTATAATAAAATGTTTTGAATTAAAACATAAATTAAAAATATATGTACAAAACTACAAAATTAAGTACAAATTGAACACTTGTATAGTAAACAACGCCTTTCCTGAGTATGATCCTTATATAATATGGCCTTTACAAGGCTGACTTTTTCCACACTATGTAAAATTCTATTTAAAAACCTAGTCTTAAAGCATAGGCGCTATCACGACTGATAACTTAATTTGTATTAACTATTGTTTAATATTAGGAGTAAACGACGTCCATGAAATTGGGATATTGAAGATGGCATCTTGAAGTTTACATATTTTAGGTACCTATTTTAAACACTGGTGACTTATTAACGGTTTAAGAATTTGAAGTCTTTAAACATGGGTTTTATAATTTCGCACTATCTGTTTACTGGTGGTAGAAACCCTTGTAGTCAAGGGCGGATTTCTCCTCTTGTAGTCTGGCAGCTTCAGGGTTGTTCTTGGCTTCCAAAGCGGCGCGCTCCTAAAAATAAAAATTCAGTTATAGTAATAAATCTTTTACTGTATGCTTGTGCTGTTTATTAAATTATGAATGTAATTTGTAATATCTAAGCAAGTTTATTATACTTTTCTGGATTCAATAGAGCTCAGGAATTCTTGAATTTTTCGTTTAAAGTAAATCGAAATGAAATTTATAATTACAATGTTTAGACGCAAGTATAGGTATAACAAATTAGTAATTTGATAATTAATGAATGGATGAAATTAAAATTCTTACCGCGTTAGCCTTAATTCCGGCGTAGATGAGGTCAAGTCCCTTTTGGATTTCGGGGGAGACTGGTGGTGGGGTGGGGATGTGGTCACCCTTGACTCTGAAGCCGAACTCATCAGCGGTGTACTCGACCGTGATGACCTCGCCGTTGGGAGCGGTGTAAGAGTACGAGCCCTGCTGGACTAAAGCTTGGTCTTGGTTTTCGCCGACCGTCTTAAGGTAGCCTTGTTCTTCAGCTTGGATGTTGTTGCCGGTCTCGTATCTGAAAAAATTCATAACAAATATTAGGTTTTGGTTACACAATATCTTATAGTTTTACAGTATAACATTAAATTACGTAAAACTAGTAAACTTATAGTTTCGTCTTCACCTTAAAGTCTCGACCTTAAATTACATCTTAGTGATTTGCAATGTTTATCAAAGTCAACTTTAAAAGTCTGACCAAATGTGAATGTTAATTTAGTTTTGCTATTTTCGTAAGATTAATGGTTTTTACAATTTAGTAAAGTATAGTGTGCAAATGTATACTTACGAGGTCTTGTAGCTTCCATCGGTGCCTTGCTCCTTGTCGAAACGGATGATGGGAATGACAGTGGTAAGGTCCAACTGCACTCTGGGTCTGAAGTCTTCGATGGGCTTAGGCTGCCTGTAGTCGGGCTGGTAATTGTAGTTCTGTTCCGCTGCCGCTTGATCGCTCGGCTGCTCCGGCGCTCTCCTTTGAGGGAGAGCAGCCGTAAGTGCCAGCACAGCGGATAATGCTACCTGGAATACAAAAAAAAACAATTTAATAAAATGTATAACAATAGAATAATATCTAGTTATTGAATGACATCTAATACAAACAAACAAACTGGGGGTAGGTCACAATGAACCAGTTACTAATCAATTGTACAAGATATATTGTAAGCCTGAACATCCTTATCTAACTAAACGTACATAGTCATAGAGTAATGTGATAATCTAAGATTGACATAGTTGAAAAGAACACGACTGGAGTTCAAAGAGCAGTACGTCATATTCCGATTGGTACAATATAACATTTCAATTGTACTCGCAGTTATGTAAAGTAATGACCGATAATGAAACGGTGACCTCACCGAGAAGAGCTTAATCATATTCACGATGTTGTAAGATAAGGTGGAGCGGATACAATGGCTCACCATAATTACGAAACCTTATTCGACACGCGGTCCGGGCGAAAGTGGACTCCAGTAAAACATGCTGGCGATCTTATACAGGGCATTGTTTTCATTGAAATCGTATCCGAACCAGACATGCTTTGTTACCATTGAAAATAGTCGTTCGGATATTGTTTTGCATTTACGTAACTAGGGTCATCTTTCTCGAAACGCGTTGGCCTTCAGAAACACAGAGATTGGCGAATCGATCGTAAAAAGTATGCACGAAACTAACTTCGATTTATATTTTTTTCTTCTTCAATTACGTTACACATCTATTAAATTACTAATGTTTCCTTAACTTCGATAATAATCTCGTAATGTTGTTACGATCACGAATACACATCACAGTACTTAACGCTTCAATTGTAAGCTCTGAAGCGAAACGGATTATTATCAACCGGACGATTACTTGCGGTAATGTTCTTTCATCCATTTCACACACCCAGTTACTGCGTTGAACCCAAACTTATAAATCCTAAAAAAAAATTCGGAAACAACATGATGTAAAGGTCAGGTGTTGTATATTTAAATAAATGTATTAAAAGGCTGATTCGAAGTGAAAAAAACACACAAAGCAAAAATTAAGTACGAAATTACTTTTTTTAATTGTAAAATGTAATTGCGATTGCGATTCAAAACATTAAAAATTAAAATAAAATATCCTTGAATGAATATCATGTAATTTAGGTTTTAAATTAGAGCTTTTAGTCCACCTGTAACCAGAGTTCAAAATACCTGAGGCCGAATATATCGTGACCTAGAAAGTGGTTATGCAATTTACCGACACGATGAACAAGACAGTTTGTATAACAGCACGTTTTAAAAAGTAGGTAATGTACTAGAACAGACAGACAGACATATCGGTCTCGACTATAACAAAAAAACTTGCGACACCACTTTGCTTAAATAAATATCAAAAACTTTTTTTGCTCTTGCAAACATCATATAACGTTTTCTATGTCTACTTATTGTACACTTTTTTTATAAAACGTTGTTTTACTTTTTCATCTGTATTCTTTACATTTTATCTATGGTTTCTGGTTCAAGATTTTAAGGTCGAATTCCGAACTCTCTCTGCTTCTCAATATCTTTAAAACTCACTGAATTCGAAGAATTAATTTCTTTTATAACTTTCTGAGATTTTAATAAAATTATATTCATTAAAATTTTATCAAATATATTTATTTTATCAATTAAATTTTCATCAAAGCATAGAACAAGTAAAAGTCTATATAGCTATTATTTTTTTGGCAAATTAATCTAGTTTACAATAAAATATTGCCAATGAACCAGTGACCTTTACTTTATACTGCTGAAATACTTGTACAAAGAACTATTAAGTTCATTAGTAATAATTAATCTCTGATTTTCCCAAGAGAAAGAAGGATGAGAATATTCTCATGTCCGGGTATGTGTCACTATAAAATATTCATCAGCTCAAACCGAATAATCCTGATCCTCAGATCCTGTAAAATTGATTTCAAAAATCGATTTTCTATTATTCAAATCGTTTGTCATTTTTAATAAAAGTAAAAATAAATTAATAACACGTTAATTATGTAAGTAAAATCTGAACACCGATTGATTTGGAAATACAACTGCTGAGTGTACTTCATATTTGGTAACCTCATATGATTAGAATTATCAACACTTTAATAGATTTAAAAATTGTCCCACGTAAGGATAAAATATTTGCATTGTCTAATATTAAAGCACATAATTAATGGACCGTATTCAAACATTATGTCAAAGTTCAACAACCGACCCTATTCAAGCTTGCATCTCGCAAGAGATGATTGCGGAAATTCACAAACATTAAAGCAACATTTGGATTTTGAGTTAATCACATACCTACATCTCACTAACAACACCCATCTACATTTACTAATCTATTAGCGCATATAACAATTCAATGTTGTTGAAAAGATCACTTATCACTAAACTATTTACGTTAAGAATGCTTGATAAAAAGCTTTTGAACTTACCAGTACTTTCATTGTGTTTTTTTAATAATGTAACGTGCGGCAGTGAAGCACGTGGAGTCTCCTCAGAACTGTGTCAGAGTGGTAGTTCTACGCTCACTTATATACTTCACCCCTGCCACTTACTCGGTCTCTGCTATGAGCCATCACACTTTCATACCCGACACCGTGCTTGCTTGCTTTAGCGGAGATGTCGCGATTTTTTAAACATTACAATATTGACAAGTAAAATTACAAATAGATAGCAGATAGCATGACATACCATTACGTACCCTTTATTAGCAATATCTAATTCTAATCTTCACTGTAAGTGTTTACGCAAGGTGACTTTTACGGAGGTCGTAATCCGCGACATCTTTAGAGCATGCAACTTAAATTCCTACTCTATTAATGTCAACATTCTGATTTTATGATTGTTTTGCGCGATACTTATTGAATGATTGTATGCAAGTACTTTCAGCTCTTAATATTTATTTTTCCTATTGATTTTTGTACTAATTGTTATTAAAACACAACAAAGAGATACCAAATATTCTTTCCTTAAGAATTCTGCATGGGTATTGTGAAGTTGTATTACATAAGGAATGGGCGTTGTTTCTGCTTAACACTAAAGCAACATGTTAGTATAGTTATCGCGGGCCCTTGTGCAACGGTCTATCTTAAAAGGGTGCTTTTATGCTTGTAACGGATTACAATTGACTGAAGTCCCCTGACAGACTTGATTGAGGCAATTGTACTTAACCCATCTGTTTGATACATTACGTTTGTTGTTAGATTCGATCATGTAACATCTCTTATCTTAACTATGTTTTATGAGTGCATGTCACTGAATTCCTTGTTATCAGTTTGAGATTCACGTTTCATGTGTTTATGTGCGAATTCTTAGTTGTTTAAATTTTATTGAAATCATGATAATTGCTTGGACTCTTACATTGTATTCAAAAATCTTCTGTAATACCAAAACATTTGAAGCAAATATGAAAAGTTTTTATTTTCTTTACAAATTCATCTTACTATATAATTAAAACTAATATTATAAATGCGAAAATTTATATGGATGTATGGATGTTTGATAGATACAAACTCTAAACTGCTGCGGACCTCAAAGAAATTTGGCTTAAATATTGAGGATAGCTTGGAAAAACAGATAAGTCACATACTTTTTTTTAGTCCACGTGGACGGAGTCGCGGGCGAAAGCTTATTAAAATAAAATGTAAATATTATCAAGTTAATAAATATAGCAAATGCTTTAATAACTTCTAACCAATCGATGAATGAAACACTAACGTACGGAAAGTGTAATTACGCTCTATTAGCCAGTAGTTTTGCTCGAGTGAGTAATAACGTTTTTTTTTTTAATTATTACAGTAGTTAAGTCAGAGATGTAAGTACGGACATTTTTTGTTATGAAATAATGATTACCTGTGATACGACAAAGAAATAAAACATACAGAACGTGATAGAACATTTTTAATAACGAGATACATACGTTTGAGTGACATAGTACCATACGCAAATTATAATAAATATTTATGATTTGTTTATATTATAAGTTTGAAGGTAAAATATCACACATTAGCTTATAGTGATGTCAAAATAATCGTTCACCCATTTTAAATATTTGTGATTCTAAAATTACATCGGAATTTTTGTTTGCATTACATAGCTAAAACTATACAAAATGTTTGATTTGTATGTCGGTTTCTTGTTAACAAAGAATAAATCCTGTACAAATACATGTACGTATTACTTGTAATCTTTTAAATAAAGAGATTTTTTGAAACATCAAAAGGTATTTTAAAGGACATTTTACAATGTTCTTATGTCGTCATTTTTTTTAAAATATACTTTAAAATTATTAATTAATTTTTTTTTAGCAGTTTTATAGCTTAATCCAAGCAATTAAGCATTTAGGCGATTTTAATGCGTATCTCAGAGGTAATTAAAATCGGGAACATTGATAAGTTTCTTTTTCTTCATTTCAAAGATATTAATCAAAATGACAGGTCAGTAACGGTTAATTAAATATTACTGGAGCTCATCCGCTCGGGGGAATACTTAAGAATTTCAATTGTCCGTGACACGAATTGAAGGTTCATGCACGCGGCGTATACGATTTCCTAGCATCTTACGAAGATTTACTCACATTGGCATCTATTTAATGTGATATTCCGTGTTATTTAGTCATTTCTTCAATTGTTTAAACCACCTGTCAAGGACGAGTTACGTAAAATGTCACCATCAATAAAGTTGTGGTAAGCGGTGCATCATACCTCGTGGGCAAAGACATTCGTCATCATAGTTTCACATTTACGCCAAAGGTCAGTTTGTTTTTTTATTTTCAAACACATTCTCCAAGACATCTAATTACTAATGAGGGAATATGTAAGTGTAAAGAAGCGAAGAACATTTTTTATAGTCGTGGCAAATGGAACTTCTGGGTTCTTATTTTGTAAGTCAAGGGCGAAAATACAAATTCCTTACACTGCTTTTACTTTGGCATCGTAACATGACCTATAAAGCAATATGTATAGATACTATATTAATTATTTGATTGACCTTGTCATAGTACCTATTTAATAATTTAGTTACTATCCGAAATGTCAAAGAAACGACATGTTCAAAATAATTGTATTCCAGTTTATAATTTGATTAATTTATTTGCATGCATTAAACATAAGCGTCCATCACGCGTTACACTGACTCGTTCCACATGTACAGATTTGGTTAAACAACTAGTCTAAACTTGCTTTCTTGAGAAGATCAACACATTATGTCATCATGTATCAGTAAAATCAAAAATAATATATCATTTTTAAGGATAGCAATGTGGTCAAGGATAAACTCACTTTAAATATGTTACTACTACTTAACATTAGTATTCCTATTGTCTCTTAAGTTATATCTGCACTAAGTTTTTTTTTTTTCGTTTAATAATAATGGTCTTAAAACTTAATCCTTTCAATCCGGAAGCTATGCATTTCAGGGGGTTCCAGGGTTACGTGATCGTTTAGCTGCAGTTAATTTCCTATTATTATTTTAGGTTTAAAATGTAATTTAAAGGCATGTTACAAAGTCGTATAAAAATTCTCGCGAAATGTATTTGTCACTAGGTAACTTTTTAATTCATAATTCTCTAGGTCATATGAATTTCAATTAATAAACGAAACCTGAGCACATTTTCTTAGAAGGCAAACTCGTACAAGGATGTAGAGTGTTTGCCTTAAATGAATCACATAAACAGTATTTATCTCCTTATTATAATAATGATTGGAAGCACAAGTTCTAAAATACCAATCACGTAACATTGTTCATCCCGTAGTATAGTTCGCAGCATTCTAACTAACTTCCTATAAATTACTATACTACGAGTATGCTTCGGTAAAAGTGTAAACTTTTACTATACTTCGGCAAAAAGCCCAGTATTCGCGTCAATATTGACGGCACACAGTCAGCTGTTCTTTGCGTAGTACGCTTCTTCCCAATGCCCGTCCAGCCACACCTAAAATTGAGTTGCAACGACCCATGCGATGTTCAACAGCTAAGATATTTGAATTCAAGAATAGAATAAAAGCCTTTTTTACTTTACCATCTCAAGCATACACAAAAGGTTTGTCCGTTTATGTTGACATTAATTTATCAATTTTCAACTACTTACGCATGATAAATTATGTTCAATGATTGATAGGGATTCATCGTCTTTATGACTTGACATGATTAGTGCATTCCATCGATAATAGCCTCAACATTTTATTGAATACTTCATTGATAATTACAAAAAAGCAAGGTCTCTGGTGAGAAGACGACGTTTCGTAAATGACATAATAGACATATTCACGGCGCCGTATTTCGCTACAAATGGAAAGAAATGTCTTATTAATGTTTCTACATTTATTTTGGAATTTTTAATTACCATTTCAATAATGTTTTTTACAATTTTACTTAAGACATTTACATTATTTCAGACGAGCACACGGTCAGTACTTAACGAATCAAAACTGCCATTTGCAAAAGCTTCCTGTGAAAGTAAAAAAGCTCTCTGACTATTTGACTAATCGTGAAATATATTGAACAAAAGTAATGTTCATTGTAATTGATCTATTAGTTTTCTCTATTTTTAAGCCCTACATCAAATTGTTTGTGCCTAAACAGATCTGTTGTATTTTTGTAAAAAAATAATTAAAACATTTATTGATTAAAGATATTCAAATATACATCTTTCTGTGTGTTCTTGGGATGTTGCAATTTATCCTTCAAATGGATCATTCGCGCTTGAGTCAACTACCATTGGCGGCCTACGTACATCCTACTCTGAACTGAACAGATTCTTTAGGAGAGACATCAAATTATTTGTACTTCGGTTCAAGGTGAATAAATTAATGCTGTAGGATTGTCTACAGTACAATTATGTTGTTATCTTACACTCACATTGTACTGGGCGGTAGTTTTCCTGTCAAAACGAACTGTTTTCACTCCAAAGAATAGTTTCTACGGCTCACGTTTAAGAAAGCTAATGTTAAGATGATTTTATGTAGGGTGATCAAATAGTTATCTTCTTACAACGGAAGAATGATAGGGGTAGATTTATTATATTAATTTAACATTATTTACCATGGAGGCTTAGTACACCTAAATGTTTTTTTTTTATTTCTACGTAAGACGACATTGTTCTATTTTTAAATATTATTCAGTATTATGAACTGAGGAAAATTATAAATCAACGAGAATTCTATTGAGAGCGGTCATTTAGTAGGTATATATTAATAATACAGGTCGAAGCAAGCCGTTTTCTTTTAATGGTATTTTATGTCGTAAGTTTGTCACTGTTGTGGCATCTTTTGTTTTATAGGCGCGTGTCAAATACGCGTTAATAATTATTTGACGAAACACCATTTGGCGCAGCATCTTATGCGTAATGGGGCATAGTTGTTAATAATATACTCTAGGATAGGTACGCAATGGGCGTGCAAACTAACAAGACAAGAGTTCGTTTCAATCAGTAAGTATCCGATGTGAGATTTTGCGAAATATTCTCTTGTGTCAAATTATGTTATAATACAAACACGTCGACAAATAAACAATATTAGCAGAAATATTGTTGAAATTAGGTCACCTGCTAGCGTGCACGTATTTAATGTATCAATGATTTCGTAATGGAAGTGAGAGGAGGGCCGAGCGCTTCTTTGAAGATTTGCGTTGGAGTCGTGCCCTGATCTTGACATTTGTCGATCTGGTATTTCGACCTTATGACTTATAGTTCTCTTCAACAGAAAATGTATTTATATATGTATTGACTCTTTTCTCTTCCAGTAGTTATGATTACTTTCAGATTGTTTTGTCTTAACCAATTTCCATGCACAACTGCGACTATTTCGCATGATACAAAATACATAGATAGAATATAGAAATCTTTAGGCAATTTTAATGTGTTACTATCATCTTAAATTACCAAAATTGATAAACTTGCAATAATAAGATAATAAGTACTTATACCAATCATCTTTTCCATGTAAAATAGTAATTTGAAATTCATAAATTACGTAAAGCAAGATCGCAATATAACTAAATAAAATGGGTAATTTTTCCCTGAGTTTCTTAATGATATTTAACATTTCTTCGTTTCTAAATTAAAGAATTAAGATAACTGGATTTTGAAAATATCGCCATAATAGGTACAAAATTAAATGTTGAATAATAAAATTATACGATGAAACTAGAGAATTTGAAAACAACAGCTTGTATGTTAATGTTAGCATGTTATACATATATTCTTTATTCAAACTACTTTTGAGAATTAATAATGGATGATATTTGATCGATTCGGTATTATTATCATGTAACAAACACGTGTTACTTATTATATTATTGGGATTCATAATTATGTTGCTATTTTGAAAAATTGTTTTTCGTCATCAACAATTTTAAAAACAAACTAGGTTTAATACATTATTAATATCATTTCATTATATTAGTTAATAATAATTGCCAAGTATTTCAGTGTTTGTTTGAAGAAAATTTGCTAAAACGAAATCTCCTTTTTTTCCCAAACTGTACGTTTCAATAGAAAAAAATAGCAATGTCTATCATCTGCACAAGTGATAATTCATTTACGCTAGGCGCTGAGGACAAGAAATTGATAATTACAGACATGCAAAATAAATGAACCAATGCCATATATTTTAACTTATTTAACTGCTTGAATCTTAAATAAATTATGTACATTATTAATGTACATTTTAAATGATGTTTTTGTACCCAAAACATGTTAATAAATCAGTAAAGCAAGTGCCATTGTAAGCATAATTAATTCTCCTTATATCTACCTGTATGGTTATCGCAGTTACAGCAATTTAGTAATCACTAAAATAGATTTTTTATACACAAAAAATCTTTCGAATCAGGATATGGCAACCATGTAAGACGAAAATAAAACTACAAGATTTTCATAGAAATATTTAATATTTACAGTGGATATTAAAAAAAAATATCTTAAAGCTTATTCATAGAATTAACACATTGATATATCACATTTTTAACATTTTCGTCGATATAAAGTATTCCATAATTTGTTAGTACCCCGTCCTTTTGAGTATATCCGTTATTGATTGTCAAATGCTGGAAAGAAAGTTAATTTACAATTTCGACAGAAATAAGCTGCTATCCAACACAATTAAGCTGAAGAAGCAGAAGCGCTTACTTCCTCAGATGTCGGCGCGGCACTTGTAGCAGACTCCGAGACCGCTTGTGGTATATCTTCCGCTGCTTTCGTTGTTACGTCGGTGTTCGCGGTTGTCGCTTCATCTACCGCTGCAGCATCGCTCGCTGTTACTGAACTCTCAGCGCTTGCAGTGGTATCGCCAGCTACCGCAACTGCTATTGTTGTTTCTTCACTTGAAGGTTCAGTAGCTTTTTCATCTGATGCACCTGATGTTGTCTCTACAGATTCAGATGAACCAGTTGTTTGTTCATTAGAAGCTGCTTGCGTCGTTGATTCTGATGATTTTTCATCAGAAAGTGAATTATCTTCACTGGTCTTAGGTTCAGCTCCTGAGCCAGCCTCCGTGACATCTGATGCAGGAATAGTTTGATCCGCAGATTCAGTGGTTTCCGATTTCAATTCAGCTTCAGTGCTTATTGATGCTTCTGTAGTCGCAGCTTTTTCTTCAGCGTTACTTTGACTAGTTGTTGAATCTTCTTCTGACTGTGCGACAGTTTGTGTTGATCCTGCTTCGGTTGCAACAGCATCAGTTGTTACTGATACAGCTTCAGTAACATCTGATTTTTCACTGGTCTGAGGAGAGTCTGTGACTACAGATTCAGTTGTGTCTGATTGAATTCCTGATTCAGTCACTGCGGAAGTTTCAGTAGTTGCCGCATTATTTTCAAGCTCGTTAAGTTCAGTTGTTGAAACTGCTTCTGGCTGTGCAGGTGATTCTGTAGATATAGCCTCAGGCGTTGTTTCTGAACTGGCTTCATTGATGTCAGACTTTTCGCTAGATTGGCTTGCCGTAGTTTGAACTTCAGCTATGTCAGATTTAGGAACTGCTGACCCAGGTGTAGTTTCAGCTATTTCTTGGGAATCATTTTGTCCAGTTGTTACACCTACTTGCGAGTTTTCGTCTGATTGTGGCTGTTGCTGTGGCTGATCTGATGATGGCTCAGATATAGGTTGTGATCCAGTTTCAGTAGGGGCTGGTTTATCATTAGATTGTAAAGGCGCTGAAGCTTCGGCCGATTCAGACTTCACTTCGGCCTGAGGAGTTGCTGCGTTTTCTGTGGTTTCAACTTTTTGTCCAGGTTCACCCGAAACTATAGTTTCAGCTGACTTCGGCTGTGCATCTAATTGTTGAGTAGGTGAAGTAGCTGAATCGCCTGCAATAGCGTTCTCTCCAGATTTTTCAGAATCTTTTGGTTGTTCTTGTTGCTCCACCACTTGAGCTGAAGAATCAGTGGGTATATTCTCAGAAGCCTTAGGTTTATCTTCTGATGCCTTAACACTCTGTAATTGCACTGATGCTGACTCAGAGTTGTCCGGAGTCTTCAAAGCGCGTCCAGTCTTTTCGTTTGAAGCTGGAGAAACCGGCACTGGAGTTGGCGCTCTAGGCAAGTGACTTCCGATAGGTTGGAAGCCATTTTCATCGGCAATGTAACTGTAAATGTATAAACATTTATAATTTACCAATATCATTAAACACATAATAAAACGAATTTCCTTTTTACGCATTACCTAGTATTATAATTTACCTTAAAGTGATAATGGTACCATCGGGAGCAGTGTATGAGTATGAACCTCGTTGTACGTGAATTTCATCGCTGTCGCCACTTTCATCACTTTCCCCACCTTCCTCACTGCTGCTGGCTTTACGACCTGCAGCCTTTGGTATAACTTTGTCGTAAGATACTTCTTCCCTCTTTATTCCGTTACCAGTTTCATAACTAAAAGAAAACAAATATACTCGTTCAATTAAACAATTCGTAAATACTTAAGCTAAATAAGCCAAGCAGACATAGCATTTTCAATAGAATTTCAATCTAACCACCATATAATAAATGCAAAACCTTATGATTTTATTTAATTAAAATTAGAAATGTTTTACTTTATATATATTTTATTGTCAACTCTAAGAAATAAACACAATAGGCTAAAATGTACACCTATGTATATTTTTCTTGGATTTATTGGTTAGTACTACAGAAGTGTGAATTTGCAGTAGCTGATGCTAATAGCAGTCACAAGTGTGCGTGTGCATAAAACATTTAAATTTGTGTTATAACACATTAACTAATGAAAATTTAAACCTTCTGAACTAAAAATCCAGATATACTTCCAAATTATTTTATGCCTTATAAAAATTCTATTTAAGGATCTCTTTGTTATTTACTGTGCATAACACATTTACTTTTTTTTATGAATTCAATAATCATACTATCTATATTAGATCTAATACTAAGTACTTGAATGTTATTGTTTGATACAGACTTTTTCAAATTCAGTAGAAATTAACTATTTTCACAGAACATTCAAATTTTTACTAGAGTAGTAACTCGTAAAAATATTTTGGCTATTGACATAGAAAAAAAAGATCATTTGGTATATTATTTGCCAGCAATGCACTAATATTTTTTATCAACTACAATAATTATTTTTTGATTAATATGCATTATTGTTTATAATTAAGTTACCTGAACTTGTAAGTTCCATTTGGTTCCAATTCTTCAGACTGTGAGATGATAGGTATGACGGTTGGCTGTTGCTTTTCTAATGGCACGACGGCCGTAGGTGCCGCCAAGACGTAACACGCCGCTACGAGACTAAGAAAAACTATTTTATAAATCATTTTAATCTTAGTACCTAATCACTCCCGAAATTTACTGATGAATGGTACTCCAGACTTCGTAAGCACTTATATGTAAGATTCATCTATTTACACTAACCTCCCCCCGCGTGCCGGTGGTACGAGCCTCAGCGGACGCTAAATACTTCAACCTTAGCAGTAGCCTGATGTGTTCTTCAGAAAATTGCACAATCGTCTAGGTGTCAATAACATGACACGAAGGGTGACGATCGGTCGCGATTCAAATTGATTTTTTATTCCATCTATGTAATCGATCTAACTTTTTTTCAGAACTAAGTACCATTTTTTATTCACGCTTGGTTCATATTATTAAATAATTTCTTTATTGTTTAATTTATGAACGTAATAATTTGATAAACTACAACACAAGCTTAATATCTATATTTCGGATTTAGTGTTGAATTTTAAACCTAAACAATATAATTTTAAGTCAATAATCTTTTGATATTATCTTTACTTTTTGGCGGTAAATACATTTAATGTATGTGAATGTGAAAAACATCGAAATATTAAAAAAAAACGTAGTATAGTAAATTCACTATAAATAACATGGTATTTTATTGCTTATTGCACATTTACGTCGATTGAAAAATAGCGTCTGAGATTTAACATAAAAAGCAGTCCCGGCAGCTTACTTTTCTGTAAAGTTTGATTTTTTTCACTTTAGCCAGTTTACATAGGAATCATTGACATGGCTTATTTTTATAAGTTGGATATTTAAAAATACTTAGATGGCTGTGGACTGTGATAAACGATTGCTACATTTATGAATTTCGGTAGGGCCTTATGAAGCCAATATTTTTATCATGTTTTTGTTTACGAGTATTTGATGTTGTCTTCCGCATTATTAAAGACTATGCAAACGTTGATGTCATACTGTAACAAAATATAGTTACCTATAATACGTATAAAGTGTTTTTTTATTCTTGTCAGACAAGTAATTCGGTTATCTAGAGGTATAAGACAGATTTGACCCGTGCTAGTGACTCATCTACAATACGGCTACAAGCGCGTCTGTCCTGTTTTGTAGTTGTTTAACAATTTTAAAAACCAAATTAGGATGCTTTTAAGAAGTAATTTAGTGATAGTTTTTGCTGTAATTACAATCAGTTTACTTTGTGGACATGCGCAAGGGAAGCGAGGACGTTACAGGTACAATCATCCGCCGTCAATAGAATCGACTGAGAATGTACCAGTAGCTGTAATTTATGATAGTGAAGACATTCGTGAAAATAAAGCCATTAAACTGTCCGCTAATTTCCAAACTGAGAAAGATGATCCCATCGTTCCCAATGAGAATGCAAAACAAAATACGGATGCGACACCGGAAGTAGCTGATGTACCGAAACAAATAGACAAAGTTGAGCAGAAAAAAATTCAACGCCAGTCAACAACAGACAGCGAAAGAAGTCTGCAGATACCCGTTAGTGTTGTATATGACTCAGAAACTAGCAACAAAGAGAGTGTTCGAAGTACCAGTTCTCCAATTGTAAGAAGAAGACCAACCGGAAGGCGTCTACCGAAATCCGAAGTATATAGAAAACCAAAAGACAATGTTGTAATTGATAATAATAAACAAAGTGAAGAGAAAATCATTGAAAATAATTCCGGTATATCGTCGCTTCCAACAACTTCTACAGAAAGTCCGTCAAATACACCTGTTAAAGACAAAAGCCAAATCAAAATTGTAAAACGAAAACGAACACGTGACCCTGTTGTACCAATTGTAACGGAAAGGAACTTCGTGTATGCACATAGCGGTAACTTTCATTATAGGTAACTGTGAAGAGCAGTCTTAAATAACGTATTTTTCATAAAAATTTTCTTATTAATTTGATATTCTATTCTACAGCTTCGAAGGCGGTGATGGCACGAAAGTATTCGAGGACGGCTTATTAAAATCAATAAATGACGAGACTGGTGAGGCTGTTTCTGGTGGATTCTCATACAAAGTAAGTATATTTTTAGCTTATGTTAAAGAATACATTTAAGAACAAACTATATGTAAGAGTATATATAAGTTTCAAGTATCGGAAATGCAAGAAAAAGTTTGTATATTTTGTCCTTTGTTACGTTTTAATCAAAGCATAATCTTTGTATTATTTTCATACTTAATGTTTCGAAATTAATTCAGGACAAAGACGGCAACGACATCAGCTTATCATACACTGCGGACGAAAACGGCTACAGACCAATCGGCGCCCACCTGCCTACGCCTCCCCCAATCCCACCAGAAATCGCACGCGCCTTGGCGTATCTAGCTACAAAATCAACCCCACAACCCGTAACAGAACCTACAAGAAAATTCGACTAGTCTTAAAACATTCTCACTATTCTAAATTATTAAAATAGTTGTTAGTAATCTAAAAATAAAAGAATTTATTTGTAACGTATATTCTTTTCCCATAAACAAGTTTTTAATTAATTAAATGTAACTTTAATGTCTAAATTATACGATACATTGATAAAAATCATTTCTCTATTTAATTAAGTCACTTTGCTTATAACAGGTTTGACCATTATTGCTGTCTGATAGTGTATTGTGTAAATTATAATTTTTACACATTCAACCGAAGCCAATTTGTCAATATTAATATTTGATATCTTCTCAAACATTCCAAATGTTAGACGTCTGTAAACTCATTGATAATGCGTTTGTAATTTTTGTATCAATAACTCTGTACTATGTTCATTGTACTGGAGTGTTAAGTAATCGAAATGTATTCAATTCATTATTGAGTTTCTTTACTTTATAAAACTGTGGGTGGCTTAATCATATTCATAATCGTCACCTCTCTATTTAATATTAAATTGTTGCGTTCTTTGAAATTGGTGGCATCTTGGCTTCAGCCGGCGGTTATTCTCTCAGAGTATTGAAAGCGGAACATAAAAATAAATTCTCGTATTTAATTTTATTATAGTTAAGTGGAAAACTTTAATTTTTTGACATTTAAACTAGTCTGCTCTCATCATTGGCCTTGCAGTCTTTCTAGTCAAACAGGTTCTATAGATACCCATAAGTTTTTTCTATTACAGACAGATTTATATCTGTATAATAAAAAAATAGCTTGTTTTAGTCAATTGTGGAACGTATTAATAAAAATAAATAAATGTAAGCGAATAAACTTCTACAACGTAGATGAATAAATACTCAACGCATGTACAAGCGACCTTTTGTTCATTAGATGATGAAATGCCTACAAATAACTTATGATATTTTAATTTTAACGTATTACGTAACGCATTCAATAAAACGCCTTATCGTTATCGCACCGGATGTTACAAATTATTTAAGGTTGATTTTCACTAACATTAAATAGCAAAGTCACGTTTCTTTGGAAATATGATAGGCGATATTTTTAAAATTCCTCGAATTAGTACTATCAATGATTTACATGTTTAATAGTGAGACAGTAATGATCTCATCGACAGTCTCATCATCGCAGCCAATGATGCACTTGGACCTGATCGAGAAAAGTTTTCTAGAATATTCTACTCTGGGTTATTTGTTTTAGCCCTTGACGTAGAGCCAGCCTTCCTTATTTCTACCAAATGTTACGTCTCCTCCACTGTGACATCCACTTTCCTTTCCCATTTTTTCTTCATACGGAAAGGGCGGTAAGGGAAAGGTCTGAAAGTCAGTTCCGGCACGCACACTAATCAGACAAAACGAGGAATTGCTCCTACTCCACGCCTGTCTTCTGTGAATTTAAAACTATCATATGCCTCTGGACAACTCCCTGAGTATTATGGTACATTTTCAAAATAATTTTCATGCATTGGTTGATCTATGTCGATTATAGCTTTTTTTAGTACATAAAGATCACTAACGTCTAAAGTTTTTTGATGTTATACAAATCTTTGATCTGTCAAACAATATTATATTATTTAGATTTTTTTAGAAGCTGTCGCCTCACATAAGGTGTGAAATTTTACTCAATGTTATAAATGGTAAATCGAAACGATTTTATTTGAGAGAACCAAAGTAGATGAGATGAACATGTGATTTTCATGCATTACAATATTTAACTTTCATTTTCAGTAAACGGTTTTTGTTATCAACCTAGTTACAGTTCTAAATCGATCTGTAAGCTTTGTAATTGTATAGTTAATAATTTTGGTGATAATTACTTTATTGTCGTTGTAAACCGAATATTGATCTCACTTTTTTAAGTTTTCTTTTCTTTTATTGCAGAAATCAGCTTAATATATCTACCCAATAAAAAATCGTTTTAAATTATCATTTAAAACGTTGTAAAACAGCGTATCAAATGTTTCGCCAATAGTCGTCTTTAAACTGTAAAGTTGCCGATTTGTAGATCCGTCTTTGTTTTACGACGCCGGCGATCGTCTTGTATCGTGATCGTGTTGCAGGAATAAAAAAATCTATTAATATTGTATGACGTTATTAAACCTTTGTTTAAAACAACTGAATGTTGTTTACATTTTATATGTGTTTTCGAGACAAATTATAGGCTTTATAGGAAATGACCTCAGCGGTTAACACCTTCAACCGATTCTGTGGACAATTGTAATGCTAATAAATATATTGTGTAATCAACTGACCGGATTCCTAAAGTCGTAATAAAACTTCCAATATTCATTCACAATGCATCTTTGGCACTGATTTTGCATTTATTGAATAAATAATAAAATGTATAACATATTTGTGCCGATATAATCTTTATCACAGTTCATCGGTCGTGTTTTTATTTGTTTTTTCATTGCTTTATTAAAAAAAATGCATCAATACCGCTTTGTAAACACTAGCAACGATACTGAAAAAAATTGGATTCACATATCTACAAATGGGAATGTATCTATTCTGCGCTTACAAATCAGTACAGATACTAACGAGCAGACGTAAAACGAGTATCATAATTATTTCAACATAAATGTAGTGATGACGATCAAGCTCTGGATGGGGGCGGCGGTGGAAGAGTTGCCAAGTAGTCTAATGCCTTCTGAATTGCGGGCGGTATCGGAGGTGGTGTTGGTAAATGTTCACCCTGTAACATTAAAAAAATAAACAATCGATCAAAGTAGAGACACAAAGAACGTGTAAGGATTAGTCAAGGCTAGCTATTAGTGTTTTCAATCATTATTGATGCTTAACAAATATTTTCTTCGTACGTCTAAGCAAATGTTTTACAAATTTTGTACCCGCTGAGGACACGTGCATTAGCATACGTATATTTTTTTTGATGTTAACGACAGAAATAGTTTACCAGAAAACAGTAGACATTTAATTGAATCACTGTTAGTTTAAATACTTGACATCAAAATTCCTCGTTTTGAATAAATTTATTTAGAGCCGCTTAGATAAATTTATAATTCCTTATAGAGTTAATTATGAATTCGTACTGCGTATGTCGAGTTTATATGCAATATCATCATAAAACTTAAGTATTTTTAAAATCACATTACACGTACATTTAAAAGACAATATGTTTTAGTTTGAAACAGAAAAGAGCTTGGTGTTCTTTTAACTTTATGCTTAAACGAATTATTTCATACATTGTAACAATAACTAGAGAAGAGCTTAGATCATCTTAAGAAGCAGTCGCTTAAAAGTAGTAGTTGATTTAAAGACCTGATTCAAAAGGCAGTTATTTAAGAAAACACTCACATCGTGAGAAGGATCCTACCTCTGCAGACCTGATCACTGATTTCCTTTATCGAATTCCGCAACGGATAGTGCACAATTTTTAGGTAGGATATATAGACTAACTATAAAAACTATAAAATAATGAAGACTTATAATATTTAAAAAATGACAAACTGTAGTAGAGATTTTCTTTCCTAATCTTATATAGTACATTGTAATTGCGTACCTCAGGTTTGAAGCCGTTTTCATCGTCAGCGATGTAGTTAAGGTTGATGACAGTGCCGTCGGGCGCGGTGTAGCTGAAACCTCCCTGCGCCACGATCACGTCGTTGCTGTCCGGACCACTGGCCTTCTTCAATGTCCCCGTCTCCTCCGCTTTTATGCCGTTCTCAGTTTCATAGCTGGAAACATTTATGAGGAATGCATTAAATAAGAGCCACTTTTGTGTATAGTGTGAACTATGCAACTTTAATTTTAAAAGGTGAAAACACAACAATCAGAATTTTCTCGTACCTACATATTTATGTGTAAATAAGAAATACCGTGAGCTACAGCGCAAAGCAAAGTTAGCTACTGAAAATGTTGCAATCCGAGGAAATCTCGACAAGCATTTATAAGTGATTCGAAATATAAGGTATTCAGGACGAATAAGTTTTCTATATTCAAATTGCTACAAACTGAAGTATTCGTTTACTATTTTAGGAAACGCAGGCGACAATTACCAAAGCTGCCCTTGAACAGTTATATTGGTACCCTAACCTTTCCGACTGTCCGTCGTATGGGACCCACCAACTGGAAACATTAAATAATTCTATGCGTTATAATTACCAACTTATAGTATTTTAATATTATTCTTACTTGTATACGTAGGATCCATCGGGTTGCTGGTCGAAGTCTTGTTTTAGAATTGCTATAACCTTTTCAGGCTGCTGGGGCGCGGCTGCGGCCAAAGCAAGAACGGCGCAAATCAATAACACCCTCTGGGGAAAAAATGATTTTTAACGCCTGTAAGATTTTTGTGAGCAAAAACAGCAGACATGTAAATAGGTATTCTCGAAAAATCAGGCATGTTATTGTATTGTGAACGTAGTGGATGTAAATTGAATTTTATTACTTCAGCAAATAAAACTTTAGAATACTATATAATCGAAATTCAATTTACACATTAAATGTTTGTTATAAATCGAAAAACAAAGAGTAATTCTTAGAACAACATGTTTTGTATTTTGATATTATGTCACTGAGGTTATCGTTTCTGATAAAAAAGCACCTATTCTAAGAAAATTGACTCTACCTACGAAACCTACCTTTAAACCTACGAACGAAAAAACTGTATTTTAAAATAATATGTACATCATATTATGTGTTATATCATATCAGTGTTAAAGTAATTTGACCTTTACTTCATGGTAATTTACCTCTCCAAATTTTTATTCACAACTAATTAAAGGAAATTTTTATTTAATTTGACTACCTCTTCTTTACATATATATGGGTATTGTTTATCATTTAAGAATTTAGGTTACATGCGTATTTCTAGAAAACCATCTAATGTGTTGCTAATTTAGTAACACGAGACAAAGCCGGTCGTGGTGTCGCAGAGCCATGTAACCTTCGCGTGCTAGACACGTGTTAAATACGTTACAGTCACATATTGGATACTTCATTTATTTTTTCTGTATTAAAATTAGACAATTTTTTTAATTGGATAGATATCTAATTCATAACTACAACTACAATACACAATAGGTATAAATAAATTGATCACCACTCTAGATCGT